TCTCATGGACGCTCAATCTGTGGTTTTGAGCTGACTGGTTTTACAATATACGACACCAAATAATTTACAACGACAGTCGCACACACATATATACACCCATCACAACACTTATAAGTTATACGGTGTACCCTGCGGAAAAAACATACATTCATTTGTAGGGCTCTGGTCGTTACTCGTGGTATTTAGGGAGTATAAGGGGTTTACTCTGGAGTGGTTTATTTGGAAATGTAAACTGGCTGGTTCAGAAAGCCAGCATAAACTGATAACAAAGTGGACATGGTCTACTTGTTGGATAGAGGAACTATCCGACTTTAGAATATGACATTATAACTTAGAATATTGAAGTATTCTGTAAGTATGTACAAGTGGGTGCAGGTTATGGACCAGGCATGCCTTGAGGATATGTCATCGGAATAACCTGGCTGCACTTTGGGGACAGTGCAAGCAAATGACAAAGTGTGCGCCAAGGACTGTAATGATGAATATGCCATGGGGCATTGGCTGAACTATAGTCCGATTTTAGTATGTTTGTTTGTGTGTGTACAGAACCATGGACAGTATAGATAGCGCGGTGAAGATTGCAAGATAAGATAGTTAATAGTGAGTCTACATCACGTACTATAAACTGTGTAAATAAACGAGGGTTTTACCACCATACTCGGTGGCTTCCTGCGAACTCTGATTGCGCATACTTTTAACTAAAAGCGCACTACAAAAATACGAAGACTCAACTAGATCTGAATCTAGTACAAGCGCACAACGGAAATGGCTACTACAGAAGACGCGGCTAAAAGTCGCCATGGATCTTACAAGGGCGAGTCTAAGTATGGAGCTGGCAGGCACGAGTTTATGGTTGACTGGACGAATGTCAGACAGGTGATCAAGAACAATCATGGCTGGGTGAGCAAGGTATTGAAACAAATTCATCAAGGCTGCGTGATTTAGATGCCATATTGCATCAGAATTTTACTGAAGGTGTCAACTGATTGGTCTGTAGCGTATGCGTTACTGAAGTCTAAAACCATTAAAATGTTGTTGGTCAATTCGGCATCGCAATTGCGTATTGTCGCGGAAGCCATCGAGTCAGACCATGTGCTGAACGTGATGTATCTAAAGAAATTTAAGATGCTTGCCTTCCGAGCGGTATTTTGGACGAATGACTTCACTGGGGGTGCATCGGAACAAGGAATCAAGGATTGGAACTTGTTGGGTCCTGTGGCGGAGGTCGAGGACGGCAAGTCGAAGTCGGATGGTGAAGCTGAAAAGTCGTCCGTTCCGGAACCTTCAACTAAACGCCTTATGACGGCAGAAAAAGGGGTCATAGGCTGGGCCAAAATTGCGGAATGGCCCAAGTTGAACGCTATAATTGAGAATGTTCGGCTGTTATCAATGCAGCGTTCTCAAGAAGTCGCTTGCATCATTGAACCATCTCTTACTAATGAATTTGTCAGAGCAAGGATCAACGCAATGATCGACAATCCTGTCTTCGGGTAAGAAGTAATGGAGAACTTAAAGTCTTTGAATGTGCACATCCGCAATTTCGTCAAGGCATGTTGTCCCAAAGAAAGAGAGAGAGAGTTGTTGTTGAGAGTGCGTATGATTCAGGGGGGGGGTTGCCCCTTGTAGTCAAGGTACAGGCTGAACTGTTAATTGCAGCAAGACCCATTAGAGGAGAAGGAAACCGTAATGAGGGTGCCATGGGGGTTGCAGGGCAGACTCCTGGATCGGCACACTGTACCGGGTGTCATTTGTGCCGCAGTAGCAAGCAATTAGAACGTAATTGTCCTTTAAAGGAAGGTGCGAGTGGGGCGCCACAGTAGGTCCGTAAGAAATCAAAGTTAAGCAGAGCAGAAAAACGTAAGAAGTGGGAGGAGGCGGCTGTGGTATTGGCTTTGAGCAAGGCAGCTGTATCTTCAGGTGCGTCAGGGAGAGCAGTCGCTAAAGCAATTGTGAAACCGGCAGCAGCAACAGCGGGGACAGTAGGAGGAGCTGTGGTGTTTGCTCCAGCCAAGTCTGAGTGACTTGGGAGTGTCACTGAGGTAGTGGTAGATGGAGTATTTATCAGGATGTGGTCGTAATACCTATATAGAAGGATAAACCTTAGTTTAGCCGGAATTATCATATCATATGATCTGATAAACCTAGTTTGTAATTATCAGATCATATGATCTGATAAACTTAGTTTGTCAGATCTTAGAATCTGATAAACCTAGTTTGTGTTCAAGACTGAACACATGACTCATAGAGTCCTCGTTATTGTTCAATAATCTAAATTATATAATAAAGACGCAACGTCCCCCTAACTACTAAGGGAGAACGTCCAGGTACAGTTATTTGAGCGTAATTTATTACAAGGATATCTTGAAACAGGGGCAACCCCATTGCTGATATCCACTACTTTAGTAAAACACTTAGACTTAAAAATATACAGCTTATGGTGGAGC